GGAGCTAGCACACTGGTTTCTGCGCGCACTCAAAGCGCGCTCAGGGAGCCGCGTTTCAGACAATGCGCGTACACAGAATTGATTCCTCTTTCACGTATCCTTGCTTCTGAATGAACACATACACACAAAATTATCTCAAAATAATTGTCTCTGCAAGTATTCTCGTAAACGCTGTCGGTTATGTCTTAAGTGAACGTAAACAGTGGAGAAAGAAATCTCCTGTGCATCATTATATTGGATCTGTGCATTCGGTCTTAAAGGGGCAGCAGCCTATAAATATCTGCTGTTCCAATAGTGCCACCTGCTGTCAGAGTGACATTTGCATCTCATTCACAAAGCTAACATCAAATCATTGTTTTTGCTTCAAATTTTTAAATTATACAATCCAAATAACATGTATTTAAAATCTTTTTTGTATAGTAATTCAAATGCACTGGTTGCCTCTGATTTTTAATAGAGCACAGGCAACGCCTTTGTTTATATGAAGAGATTTCTTTTAGTTGTATAATTTATTTGATTTGGGATTTGTTTTAAAATTTCAAGTTCGTTTTATTTAAAATGTCAATTTCACAAAGAAATATGCCGCATTTTGTCTGAGAAATAATAAAAGGACACCTTTTCATTTATAATTTGTCTTAAATCTCATTTTGTAAAAAAATAAATATATAAATAAATTGTAAGAAAATTGTATTGTGTAATCCAGGGTTCCTCAAATCTTGCCCTGGAGGGCCAATGCGCTGCAGAGTTTAGCTCCAACCCTGATCAAACTCACCTACCTGTGATTTTCTAATGATCCTGAAGACATTGATTAGCATGCTCAGGTGTGTTTGATTAGGGTTAGAGCTAAACTCTGCAGGAAAGTGGATCTTGTGGGCCAGATTTGAGGATCCCTGGTGTAATCTGTATCGTGAATTTTATCGCATCGTAAGTTTAGTGAATCGTTACATCCCTATATGCTACTAGTTTTTGCTGATCATGTTGATTTGTCCACAGTAAAGTTCAGCCGATGTCTTTTTTTTTTTTTTATTCGGGCTAGTTAAATTCATTTTGGGCTACCAAAACCTGAAGAATGCCTGCCCGAAAGGCTACCAGGGATTTTGAAATTTTGCGAGCCCTGACTATTCAAAAGTTTGGGGTCAGTAAGATTGTTTTAAAAATGGTTCTGAAAGAAGTCTCCTTTGCTTACCAAGTCTGTAGTTATTTGATCAATCAGTTAAAAGTCTTCAGTGTCATACGTGTCATCCCTCAGAAGTCATTGTAATATGCTGATTTGGTGCTCAAGGTTATCTTTGTAAATACATTTTTTCAGGTTCTTTAATAAATATAAAGTTCATAAGAACAGCATTTATTTGAAAACATGCATACATTATTATTTTAATATTGATGTTTTATTGCATGTTGTTCATTATATAATATATAATTGTTTTCAGAAGAAAAGTACAGGTTGATGCTGTGCATTTGACAGAGAACTTGCTTTTTTTCTTTCTAGGCGGTTTATATGATGCCTACTGAGGGAGATGATTCCTCTAAAAGTGTTCCCCTTGCCCTGCAGAGGGTGTTCTATGAGCTCCAACACAGTGATAAGCCTGTTGGGACAAAGAAGCTGACTAAGTCTTTTGGGTAGGTTTTGTTTTGAATATTCAGTTTACAAGCACTATGAATCAGGCACTGACATACGACACGTCTGCCAGTTTACATTTCTTGAGCGAAATGTGAAGTGCGAGCTGCATGTTTTTCCATGTCATTTTCTTTGAATGTCTTTGTCTTTTATGTTCAGTAGTGGATGTTCTTGCTAATTTTTCTGAATTCCAAATCCATTTTTGGATCCATTTAAATCCATTTAATCCCTGATTTTCTTTCCAGTTAAGTGTGCTATTTGTACATATTTCTAATTATTCTAGCCAAGATGCAATAAAGGCTTTTTAGGTTTTTGGCTTAACTTTGAGTGCCCTGGCCATGAACTTTTAAGTGAGCATATTCATTTTATTTCTTGTAAAATCCAAAACAACATGCTTTTTTATTTCTTGATTCCACTACTTACTGGTGGGAATCTATAGAGAATTTCTCAGCCTTTTAATAACTTCTAAAACAGTGTAAGCAATAAATAAGTGTGTGTCTGTTTCCTCAGATGGGAGACACTAGACAGTTTCATGCAGCATGATGTACAGGAACTGTGCCGAGTGGTGAGTAGCTTGATCTCCATGGGTCTCTTTGGATCCTTCTCTTTTAAATTATTGATCAATTGAGGGATTAATCATGTCAGAATGAATGAACGTGATTTGGGTCCAACCATTGTGTGATTTTTGCCAATTTTAGCTGTTGGACAATGTGGAGAACAAGATGAAAGGAACTTGTGTGGAGGGCACAATCCCAAAGCTCTTCCGAGGGAAGATGGTGGTAAGTCACCGGGACTCTCTCTGTGGTTTCGCTCTATATCTGATTCATTTATTCAGCCTCACCACATTTGGGTGTTTTCTCCATTTCAGTCCTACATCCAGTGTAAGCATGTGGACTATCGGTCAGAAAGAATAGAGGATTACTACGACATCCAACTCAGCATTAAAGGAAAGAAAAACAGTAAGTGTGGCTTTGTCTGATCTTCTGTCTTGCTGTCCTCCCTTCTTTTCCGGAAAGGCCTTTCTTGTATTGTGGTCTATAAATGTATGAATTTTCCGACATCTTGCAACTGAGTTCCAAGACAAAATTGGCAAATTCAGCTCAGACTGTTTCAGATGCCATTTCATAATGTTGTGTAGCACTGCACTGTCTCGGATGTACTTGTGTTGGGGGTGTGTTACTAACGCACCTTCTCTGCCCTGCAGTCTTTGAGTCATTCAAGGATTATGTGGCAGTGGAACAGCTGGATGGGGATAACAAATACGATGCAGGGGAGCATGGTCTACAGGTGAGGGGTTTGCATACATCACCCTCCGATGCTAACAACCCTAAAAGTGTGGTCACATTTACCTTTGTACGGCGAAATGCAGTCATCTCAAAAGAATCTGGTATTTCATGTGAGGGACACAAGGCAAAAATTTCCCAATGTGAATTGCACAACTTCTAACATGGAAATATGCAGTGTTTACAAAATATAAAGCCGCAATATAAATGGACTTTTAAGTGGTCAGGGCTCGAAATGAACTTTTTTACTTGGTAGCACTGGTGCTCCCAACTTCAAAAAGTTAGGAGCACCAGCAAAAATTTAGGAGCACCACAACTACAAATTATATATTAACAGATTTTATCCTTACATTCTTAACTTTAATGCAGATTTTGTATTGGTTAATATTAGCTGTCAATCTCTCAGTCACTGCTTTCCGCTAACTACTGTGAGAAAAAGAAAGGGCTGAAGAAGAGAGAAAATGAAAAGAACACTGACAGATTTCTTTTGTAAATAACCTAAAGTTAAGCTCTTCTTTGCCGAGGGTTAGGATGGTGTATGCGGTGTTAAATTTTACATTCAGCTCTGCGAGTTGCACCGAATGACTGGCAGGAGGTCGCACAGATTAAATTTAGGGAGCATATGCGACCAAAATGGACGCAATTTCGAGCCTTGGTGGTGCATCGATACCCCGTTGACAGTAAGGTTGGGCCGATAGACGATGCCATCGTCCATCGCCAATATCAAGCAGCAATATAAATTGACATCTAAGTGGTGCATCGATACCCCATGGACAGTAGGGTTGGGCCGATAGACGATTCCATCGCCAATATAAAGCAGCAATATAAATTGACATCTAAGTGGTGCATCGATACCCCATTGACAATAGGGTTGGGCTGATAGATGATGCCATCGTCCATCGCCAATATAAAGCAGCAATATAAATTGACATCTAAGTGGTGCATCGATACCCCATTGACAGTAGGGTTGGGCCGATAGACCATGCCATCGTCCATCGCCGATGACTGATAGACATCACGATGTTGAGCCGGCACATGAAATTTGTGTTAGCACATCATAAATAGAAAGCGGCAGCAGTTTACTTTCGGGGGATTTGTCGTGCCACGCAGTGCCGCGCCGCATCCAGTGTAGACAGCATTACTGATTATAATGAGTTCTCTTGACTGATCTATGAATCTCTGTTATAGATCAGTGGTTCTATAGTATTTTGTTGCGCCGCTCGCATCCGGTGTAGACAGTGTTAGGAATCGTTAGTTGTTTTCCCTTATAATTCACGCTTCGGGCACAACCCCCCGCCCGCTCGACCCCGCCCCTGCCGATGTCATCGTCCATTCATTGTAGACATCGTCCGATGCCAAATTTGTAGACATCGCCCAACCCTAATTGACAGTGTACAATGGACCTACTTAAAAATTTGTTAAAGTCTTGCTGATGTGACCGCGGCTTCTTATGGCTCATCCGTATTTTAATTTTTGTAATTTTCGTCCATTTTACTGGAGTTTTGACTATTTATTGTTCATGTGTCTTCCAGGATGCAGAGAAGGGTGTAAAGTTCCTGACCTTCCCTCCTATCCTGCACCTACAGCTCATGAGGTTCATGTACGACCCTCAGACTGACCAAAATATTAAGATAAACGACAGGTATCAACTTTTCTTTTTTTTGTCTTTTCAGTGTGTTGTAGGTGTAAACATGTTTTAATCTCTGTGTACTATATCTACTGTTACATTAAAAATGTCACTGTAATTGAAGAGTTTGTGATGAATTGAGTGACACTGATACTTATACTTTTGGAATCATTTCTGTGTAATAAGCATTGTGATTTATGGGTGGTCAGAATAAATGTGTGTCCTGAATAGAGGCAGATTATTCTATTAAAATATTTTTGTTAGAGTAACTCATCTAAATGATGTTTGTCGACTGAAAACTTACTTGAATATGGACTGGAGACTGAACTTTAAGATGCACTCTTTCCTATTATCTTTCTGGCATAATCTCTTGCTCGCTTTCACACATGATGTTGGCTGAGCCTGATACTTGATGTTTTGCCCCGCAGGTTTGAATTCCCAGAGCAGTTACCTTTGGATGAGTTTCTGCAGAAGCCAGACGTGAAAGACCCGGCCAACTACATTCTCCACGCCGTGTTGGTGCACAGCGGAGACAACCACGGGGGCCACTACGTCGTCTACCTTAATCCTAAAGGAGACGGCAAAGTGAGTGTCACCGCACCAATAGTGAGAACCTTTTATTTCAGGGGTCCCTAATTTTTCTGTTGGTGGTTAACGGGTTGGGTTTTTGGGTGGCTTGTGGTTGCATGTAATGTTTTGTCAGTATTGGTAAAGTAAAACCTTAAAGCATTGGAGGGCTCCAGACTGAAAATGAATTTTTGGTGTTTTATGCACATCAAGCATAAAAATATTGTAATAGAAAACGGTAAATTGTAATGATACCAATCACCATATTTCTTTTTTCTTTAAACTGTATTTTTGAATTAATGCAGCCTTGGGGGAGCTTAAGAGACTTCTTTAAAAAAAAAAAAAAAACATAAAATCTTAAGCTTTGTTCAGACTGTCAGTCTAAATCCGATTTTTATGCATATCTGTTTGGAATCCGATCATGTTTAGCAAGTGTAAATGTAAAAAAAAAAAAAATGAAGTAGGGTTTTTACTAGTACGTTTGAAGTTACATTGATATGTGGTTTGAATTCCTATTCAAATCGTATTTCTGGAAATCCGTTTCAGTCTGACCAAAGTTTTGTGTAGCCTTTTTTGCCTATGTCACTTTCTCACGCCAAGTAAAATATAAACAGATCAGACGTTGTTTGTAGAAAACATGCTGAATGTCTTTGCAGAAACAAGGTTGTCTTGTTTGAAGTGCAAGTCAAGCAGAAAATGACATTACTGCTGTGTCACACCTCTGAGTTTTGAGATCGGTAGAGACGTCATCATGGAATAAAGCCACACATTCCAGCATTTCTGCCGCTGCCTCATAAGATGGCAACATGTTGTCATGTTGTAAGACAACATCTGTATTGTAAGCTGTATTGCTGTTATTGTTGTCTTTAGCGTAGGCATAACAAACCAATGTCGTTGCCATAGAAACCAATGCAGATATTCAGTAAAGCGAAAGAGCACCACGGGTGCAAAAACCAGATAACAGTAACAGTTGCGATGCACAGTGTGGACAGTCAGTCATTTAAATCAGATTCTAATAGGAAACAGAAATATTCAGATTTGTACTGACAGTCTGAAGAAGGCTTTGTCGACACCAAATATTTGACTGGTAGTGTATTTATTGTAGGGCTGGGCGATATAGCTAAAAAAGGTATCAACGATATAATGTTTCATATCGTTTATGATCGTAATTATCGGTATCGATAATTATTGACACTTTTTATAACCTTTTTTAAAACAGAGCAATAGAATTTTTTTTATTTTTATTTAACCACTATTTTTAAATTAAACCAATTTATTGAGACAAACAAATACTTTTGGTTTTAACAGTCAGACACACAATAAAATTACACCTATCTAATTTCTAATGTTTTATATGCAGATTAAATAGGTCTAAAGGAAACTTTTGGCTTGTCTCCCGAGGCCACAGGAGGGCGCAATGAGCAAAATAATGCAGCACATTTAAATTGTCAATGCAAGGAAATAACTTGTCTATAAAAATACGTGCATTACGTCTAAATTAACTCCTATAAATCAAATATAATTTTGTAAATTGCATAAACAATTATGAGCAAAACAGCATCATGTATTTATGCATTGCTTAATAAAAGCCGAATCGCCCATCGCGCAGATTGCATTTAAAAACATAAGAGACGCAGTGAAAAGGAATAAACCTCCACAAATTCGTTGGTTTCGGTTTTCACCTAATCAAGATCTTCTCCGCATTGAGCCTCTCTATTTCTCTAATATTTTGAATGCATAACACTAACATAGACTAACAAAACATTAAAATGCAACAACGTCACTTACATCATCATCACCGCATCTCGTGCACCACTGATGACGCTCCCTGACGCACTCCTAACATTCAAATGCAAATGTTTATTTTAAATTCGACTAATATTCATTTTTTTTATTCACAATCTCCTCATCGCAGGCAGGCACAGCACTCAATTCAGCGTGTTTGTGTGTGCTGTCTGCGTCACTCATAGCACGTGCCTATATCGTGCATTATATCGGAACATTTTGTATATCGTTATCGAAGAAGGTGTACCGTCGATAAATATCGATGCCGTTTTATCGCCCAGGCCTAATTTATCGAATAAAAATGTTTTAAAAATATCCTTCAAACTTTGTCATCTTGATGCTATAGACTGTTTCTTGCATTGTCTTATTATTTATGTCAGCAAATGTATATCAAAATGTGTGTTTCTGTCAGACCTACAGCATCATGGGCAGCTCTCAACTTATGGTGCAACAATGCTTCAGCAAACAGTTTGTTTGCATTGTTCCGGCTTGTGGTCCATTCCTCATTCTCTTTTCTAGTTGTTTCCTGTTTATCCTGACTTTCTTGTCAAATAAAAGCATAAAGGCCAATAATAAGTCTAAAACGTTTATGTGGGACAAAATATACATACAATATTCAAATATTTACAATGTTACATTACACTAACAAAAATGTGAATTTTTTTGAAATGTTACCAAATCAGGTTCTGGTACCACTAGTTTTTATGTTAGTCTGGAGCCCTGCATTGTATTTGTTTTTTTTACTAGTAGTGTTTAGTCTGGTGGCAGACATTGTGAATTTTGTTTGATCTCCTGTGAAGTGGTTTATGAAATTCACTCCCACATGGCTTCATAATTTTTTTTCCAGATGTAATGTTTGTTTGTTCCCTGTTGCAGTGGTGTAAATTTGATGATGACGTCGTTTCTCGGTGCACTAAAGAAGAGGCCATTGAACACAATTACGGTGGTCATGATGACGACTTGTCAGTGCGTCACTGCACCAACGCTTACATGTTGGTGTACATCAGAGAGTCCAAGCTTAGTGAGTGCCATTATATATACATACAAACCTATTTACACCTGCTGTGAGGTTAATTTGTGATGGGTTTTTTTTTTTTTAGCTTGAGGTAATTTCACTTTGTGACTGAATAAGTGGCTGGCACCTGTAAACACCACCCTGTTTTTGGTTGTGGATCCCATGGCATGCTTTTGTCCTATGTCCATCTGTGCTCATAAGTGCTGTTGTCATGTCCAGGTGAGGTCCTGCAGCCGGTCACAGACATAGATATTCCTCAGCAGCTGGTGGAGAGGCTGCAGGAGGAGAAGAGGGTGGAAGCTCAGAAGAGAAAAGAGAGGCAGGAGGCTCACCTTTACATGCAAGTACAGGTATGGAGTCACATAATACCCGATTAAATCAGTCACTCTTGAGATTTCAAATGTCCTGTCTAAATGGAAGATGTATTGGTCCACTTGGTGTGGCAGATAAAATGGGTCACTTTAGGTCTTGTTTGCAAAGACTTTAAGTTTAGAACTTTAGAGTGGGCGTTGTTCAATAATTCTATGCTACTTTGTGTTTCTGTTTAACAAATACTAACTCTTTGTTCCTGTAGATGGTGACAGAAGACCAGTTCTGCGGGCATCAGGGCAACGACATGTATGATGAAGAGAAAGTAAAATACACAGTGTTCAAAGTTCTGAAAAGCTCCACTCTGGCTGAGTTTGTTCAGAACCTCTCACAGACCATGGTGAGACTCCACTTGGCACAATTTTTGTAGATGACATCTTTTGCTTTCTGATCCCTACAGTGTATAACAGAAAAAACAAACTCATTCTGATTGAGTTCTTGTCTTGACAGAAACTACTTTGTTTAGCCAGATTTATTTATAAATTTATTAATTCCCAATGCCAAAATATCAGCCAATAAATACTTGTAAAAGCAACTATAGATTTATTTTTCAGCAAATTGACAAACTTGGCAACAAACATTTGTGATTATTCCATTTTTGTTTATGGTTTTATATGACTAATAATGAAGTGAACTCTGCAATCTTACCTTTTCAAAATCTGCCCTTCAAAGCAGTTATTAATATTTTGATTTGTTTCATAGTGACAATCAACCAACAGTGTAAAAATTAAGTTTTAACATCACACAGCAAATGTGTGAGCAAACGGCAAAAAGATAATCCTGCTACAGTAACCACATAATTAATTAATGCTGCAATGCATTCTGGGAGCTTGCAAATCCTTAAACCAGCGGTATTGTCTATTATGAAATGGTTTGTTCTGACAACTCTGTTAGGCTAGTTGGGGTGTCTTTATTAGTACCCAAGGGTAAGTTTGTTGTGCAGACAGGAGATTCAACAATGCTTAAGACAATCCATAAAACATTGAAACATACAATAAACATAAAAATATTACAATATATCTAAAAAATATTTTTTAAAAATCACGTTGAAACAATGCGTTGTTCTAGCTTGTCAATTTGGGCATCAGAACATTATAATGTTCTGTATACACTCTACTTTTCAGAAGTTTGGAGCAGTAAAAATTCATTGTGACAACTCTGTTAGGCTAGTTGGGACGTGTTGTTCTAGCTTGTTAGGTTGATTGTAAATTCTCATTTGTTGGTAATTACATTTATTTAATATCAGATTAGTTGCATTTATTTTCTGGTCTGTCCATGAAGATGGTCTCAATTAACTGTTTTTCCTCCAGGGTTTCCCACAGGACCAGATGAGACTGTGGCCAATGCAGGCCAGAAGCAACGGCACTAAACGGCCAGCTATGTTGGATTATGAAGCAGATTGCAACAAGTCTGTAAGTCTGTGCACTCATGTCTTTAAACATTCATGTTTTTTTTATGTCATTCTTGTTTCTTATGTTGCAATGTATGTGAGAATAAAGCCGTTCATTTCAATGTCACAAACAGATGATCGACTTGAGCGATAACGAGAACCCATGGACAATATTTCTGGAAACTGTAGATCCAGAAATGGCCGCCAGCGGTGCAACGTTACCCAAGTTTGACAAAGACCGTGAGTTTCGACGTGTACATATATTCAGAACCATTTTAGGGAATAGATTTTTGCGTTTCATTTGTTTATTCTTACTGAAGAGTAAAATGGCCTACAAAACGTTTCCAGTTCTGATAGAATCAACCTTTTAACCCGGTTTTGATTTTCAGATGACGTTATGTTGTTCTTGAAGATGTATGATCCAAAAACCAGAAGCTTAAATTATTGTGGACATATCTACACACCTATATCCTGTAAAATACGTGAGTAATCAAAGCTATGCATAATAGGGTTGTTCTCATTAAGTTTTTGTTGTAAAGATCTAAGTAAACAGAAGTCAGTTCTTTCTGATGCTTAATCCGTTCTAACCTTGACCCAAACAGGAGGCTTGCTGCCCGTTATGTGTGAAAGAGCAGGGTTTCAGCAGGGAACTAACCTTATCCTCTATGAGGTAAGACTGTTGGTTTACACAGTATTCCTAATGATGCAGTTATTCATTTGAAGTTTTGTATAGAAAATGGTTATTAGAGATGCAAGATATGCCTGTAGTAATTGTTGTGGTTTAAAACTGATAAATTAATCATGGAATGCTATATTTAAAAAAATTAAAAAAAAAAGTAAAAAGAGAACATTTTTAATAAGTAAAATAAAAAATATTTTGTATGCTACAAGTCAATTTAGTTGGATTTTTTATTTATTTTTTTTTTAAGAAATGAATGCTTTTATTCAGCAAGGATGCATTAAATTGATCAAAATGTACGATTTTTTTTTACGATTTCAAATAAATGCTGTTCTTTTGAACTTTCAGTTAATCAAAGAATCCAGAAAAAAAAATCACGGCTTCCACAAAAATATTAAGCATCACAACTGTTTTCAAAATTGATCATTAGAAATGTTGAGCAGCAAATCAGTATATTAGAATGATTTCTGAAGGTCATGTGACATTGAATACTGAAGTAATAGCTGCTGAAAATTCAGCTTTCCCATAACAAAAAAAAAGGCTTAAAATATATTAAAATAGAAAACAACATTGTAATATTTCACAATATTACTGTTTTTGGTCAAATAAATGTGGCCTTGCTATGCATAAGAGGCCTCAAGCTGTTGAGTGTTGGTTTATTTCATGCATTCTTAATGGTTATTGTAAATGTGTGCCATGAGCTTTATATTAGGAATATATTGCTAAAACATGGTGCATTCTGTGTTACAGGAAGTTAAACCGAATTTAACAGAGCGAATACAAGACTATGATGTCTCCCTGGACAAGGCTCTGGATGAGCTGATGGATGGAGACATAATTGTGTTCCAGAAGTAAGTATTCGTTGTCTTAATTTCTAAATTAATTTTGCACAGCTTAACAGGGCCTTGAATTGATTTGGTTCTTTTGTTGTATGGCCACTAGGGACGATCCTGAAAATGAAACCAGTGAGCTGCCTACTGCAAAAGACTACTTCAGAGACCTGTACCACCGTGTGGATGTCATCTTCTGTGACAAGACCATTCACAATGACCCAGGCTTTGTTGTGACACTGTCAAACCGAATGAACTACTTCCAGGTTAGTTTTTTCAAAGTAGATCAGAATGATGATCTACTGCCAGAAACCGGAAACATGAAAAAGAACCTCTGGAAAATCATCTCATCATAATTCATTTATTTTCAGGTGGCAAAGACTGTTGCGCAGAGGTTAAATACTGATCCCATGCTCCTGCAGTTCTTCAAGTCACAGGGGTACGTCTTTTCATTTTCAGTTTGGTGTGACTTCTTTCCCCTATGTTTTCATCCATAAACTTACTTTTTTTATTCTGCCTCTCAGGTACAGAGACGGCCCTGGCAACCCACTCAGGCACAACTATGAAGGCACTCTCAGAGACCTGCTGCAGTTTTTCAAGCCCCGGCAGCCTAAGAAGCTCTACTACCAGCAGGTGAGAGAGGTCTTATCTTACATTTGGCGCTCCTCTAAGGGAATATGAGATCATCTAAGCCGTTACGTTCCGGGCATGTGATTTATTCATGGTTTTGCCTCCCCACAGCTCAAGATGAAGATCACAGACTTTGAGAACAGGAGGAGTTTCAAAGCCATTTGGCTCAACAGTATGTTTCGAGAGGAGGTGAGAAAGTCCTGCAATGATTCTACATCGAATATCCCAGCATGACAGCCAGCCCTACTCATTTGCATAATGTACGTTTCCACAATGTTCTACACACTTATCAGTGTGAATATTTTCTCTCCCTCACGTTAGGAGATCACACTATACCCTGACAAGCATGGCTGTGTTCGGGACCTTCTGGAGGAATGTAAAAAGGCAGTGGAGCTCTCTGACAAAGGCTCAGAGAAGCTGAGGTCTGTCTGTTCTCAATTCAGTGCACTTTTCATTAATCAGGGATTTCTATATTGTTATTCAGTGTCTGCTCTGAGAGGTCTTTAAGGGACTTTCCATGAGTGCGGTAAAAATTGGGCATGAAACTCCTAAGGGTTTCTTTCGTAATTTTTTTGTTTTGTTTTGTTTTGTTTTGTTTTGTTTTGTTGGTTTTTCACTCCATGTTCCATTCATTTTGTGATGTTTAAATCATTTAAAATCCTGGTTAGTGTTGGAATTTTCTAGTAATGCGTTTCTAGTTTAAAAGTGAATGGGATTTTGGTAAAACATGTTTTTGAAAAGTATTTTATGCTCACCAAGGCTGTATTTATTTAGTCAAAAATACAGTAAAACTGCATTGTGAAATATAATTATAATTTAAAATGTTTTGTATTTTAATATTTTAATGTTTTTTTTTCTGTGATGGCAAAGTCTTCACATGTCGCATGTCCTTTGGAAATCAGTTTAATATGCTGATTTGGTGCTCAAGAAACATTTCTAATTCCCAAATGTTGAATGTTCTTTGAATAGAAGGTTCAAAGAACAGTGTTTATATTAAACTGGCACCTCTGCTTTTTTTCTTTTTCTTTTTCTTTGTTTACTATAAAGGACAGAGGCATTGTGATATTGTTACATTTATAGTTAATCTGACATTTCTAAAAGTTCTCACAAACATGGGGTTTGTGTCACATAATGCTTTTAAAATTATGTATTGTTTTTATGACATGTTGGATAAGAAAAGATAACAGACTGTCGATTCTGGAGAAAACCGCTGATATATCAGCCAATCATGCATTAATAAGTAATTGACGCTGCTGCAATCTATTATATGAGTCACTCTGACCATTATTCTGACCCCTTTCACTGGTCACTGCTAATATTAACATTGTCTTTTTTGCCCTCTCTGTAGGCTGTTAGAAATTGTCAGCTACCAAATTATTGGGGTTCACCGGGAAGATGAATTGCTAGAATGTTTATCTCCAGCAGCCAGTCGAACATTCAGAATAGAGGTAAAGAGCTGAAACACGCCAACCCTCAAATCCCATCATTCACTGATGGTGCACAACAAAGGATCTGTTCCCTAGTAAAGCCTATTAAAATTATTTGGCATCCGAGTTGCCACTTTTATTTGTGGATGCTGTTCCCCTTGAAGCAAGTTCTATCTCTTTCGTGGCAGGAAATCCCTCCCGACCAGGTGGACCTGGACAAGGAGAATGAAATGCTGATTCCAGTTGCACATTTCCACAAGGAAGTCTTCGGGACATTCGGAATTCCCTTTTTGCTCAAGATCCGTCAGGTGTGTTAGCTGAGTGCATTGTGTAGGCGGGCAGCTGTCGTTTGTTTGCCGTGTAGGTGGATGGCTGTCATTTGTTCGGTTTGTATGTGTCGTGTCCGTTTTAATGCATGCATTTATTGTGGCAGGGGGAACCCTTCAGAGAAGTGATGAAGAGAATTCAGAGCATGCTTGACATTCAGGAGAAGGAGTTTGAGAAGGTAAGAGAAGCTTTACAATGTGTCCGATGTAATCACAATGTATCAGTGAATTTTTTCCAACCTGGAAATATTTTGCACATTAACCCTTAAATGCATACCTTTGGTTACTATTGTCCCAAGGTATGTTATGTTTTATTATGTTTTACTGCGCGACAATATTGACTTTCTCATGTCTCGATGTAATTCATCTTGATTCCACAATGTGGCATTGTCTTATAATCAATGATGGGAAAGCATCAATCATAATACTACCTTGTACTTAAAGCAAAAATGAACAAGTAACATCCTCGAGACTTGACATGGCTTAACGATTTCCTGCTCAGCAAGTGCATAATCAAATACTATTGTCGCTTGATGGTGGATCTAAAACATTGATCTTAACATTGGTTTAAAAAAATTATTTTGAGTTATGTAGGATGTCCTTTTTTAAGTTGCATAGGATACGCTCGCATGATTTAAACTTCTGAAACTTGTATATGTTACAGAAATTGTTTATCCATAAATGCATGATAAAATTACTTTACGAAAATATTGTAATTTATATTATGACTCAAATGATTTTGTGGAAATAGTACAGTGCTTTGACTATTTAGTGCCTGAATTGTTAAAGCATACTTTCCATGCTGTTTATAATATTATGATAATATTTAAGAGATTATAATATAAATATATAAATTGTAATAATGTAATGCGAAATACGTTTTGTTTAATTTTGTTTGTAACTTATTGAAATAAGACAGTTTTATACTCTTGGGTAGGGCTGGGCGATAAATCGATAATGATAATTATCGTGAGAGATAAATTGCCTCGATAAACGATAAGAGGTCGATAAATTTTCAATATAATGTTTATGAGGCAAAGGCGGAACAAAAGAGCGCAATTCATTTGAAGCGCGTCACTTTGGAGCGTTTATCCACTCGGATCAAAGTTTAGGCGGCGCGGCGCGAGCTTCACTAGAGCAGATGCGTTACTCGCTGATGAGTCTCGATCAAACGGTGCTGTGAGATCCAGTGTGAAGCGCTTGCATTCAGCGAAGAACCCAAATAACTCTGTTTACAGCCAGATGAAACGGCACTGACGAACAGGAGAAACTGTGCGCAACAATACATTTAGAAGACTTTTTAATCTACAAATTACCATCATTTACCATAGATTTACTGTAGTAGCACTAACTGCACCATGGTATTGTGTCAGAAATGTGGGTATTTGTCGAATTTATATTATTAAAGGGGTCATATGATGCTGCTAAAAAGAACATTATTTGGTGTAATGAAATGTGTTTATGCTGTTTAAAGTTTAAAAAACACATTATTTTCCACATACTGTACATTATTGTTTCTCCTCTATGCCCCGCCTTT